GTACGTAACGTGTGACGGCGTCTCCTCCTGTGACGGTGGGAGTAGGTAACGGGGTGTGACGGCAGCGTGTATGTAAGGGTGTGACGGCAGCGTTCCTCTCGTGATGTGACGCTGGTAGTAGGTAAGGGTGTGACGGCAGCGTTCCTCTCGTGATGTGACGCTGGTAGTAGGTAAGGGTGTGACGGCAGCGTTCGTCTCGTGATGTGACGCTGGTAGTAGGTAAGGGGTGTGACGGCAGCGTTCCTCTCGTGATGTGACGCTGGTAGTAGATAAGGGGTGTGGACGGTAGTTCGATGTGACGTGAGCCCTTACATAGAACGGGTGTGACGCATTACTCTCAGGTAAGCGTCAGCAGGTGTAGGACAAACACAGGTAAGCAAAGGGGTGAGGTTGTTTACTTCATGGTGACCGTGTAACAAGTGGCTTTAAGTGATGTTATTTTTATAATTGTTTTATTTGTAATTTTGGTATTGTTATTTTGTTGTTGTTATTTATTATTTATTAGTTGGGTTTTTATTATTACTACTATTGGTTGCTTAGTTAGTTAATAAGTTAGCGAGTTTGTTTGCTATTTGATAGGTTAATTGGCTAGTTATCGTGTTTGACTTGTTTGTTTGTTAGTGACCGACTCCGTCCTCCTACACACACACACTTCTGCACCATCCTCGACACCGGCTCCTACTACCACCTGAGATCCCTAGCCCGAGAATTGCTGTTCGACACCACAACCGCATCCAGCCCATACGTGCACGAACTGATCGCTATAAGAACAGCCCAGTCCCAACCATTGTAAAATTATCAATAACTTGTAATAAACCAGTGTATTCACTCCCAGTAAATCCTACTCCTTACACTGTCACTATGTTGAAATGAACTGTAGTTTGAGCTTTTCCCCATCTAGTTATTATATGTCTTATTTGTGTCACTCATGTTACTTGTATATTATTTGTAAATCGAAACCCATTCCCCAATTATGTAACTGTATATTTTCAGCCTTCTGACTGCCATGCTCTTTTAATAAACCGTTAATTATTATTATTATTATTATTATTGTTATTATTATTATTACACGCGCACACACACACACACACACACACACACACACACACACACACACACGTACATCAGTGGTCCGGTATTACTCCCAACACAATTTTGTTTACAAGTAATTTGCTAAAGTTAAGAACATTTTAAATATAACTCAGACGCAATTTAGCTCAAGGTTCGAGTTTGGTTAAATTGAGTTAGATTTGTTAAAGCTTGAGCATGAAGAAAGTCCTGGGAGACGAAACATAAGGTGGTGTTCGTCCTGGGAGACAAAACATAAGGTGGTGTTCGTCCTGGGAGACGAAACATAAGGTGGTGTTCGTCCTGGGAAACAAAACAGAAGGTGGTGTTCGTCCGGGAGACAAAACATAAGGTGTGTTCGTCCTGGGAGAAAAAACACGGTCGTCCGGGAGACAAACATAAGGTGGTGTTGTCCTGGAGACAAAACAGTGGGTGGTGTTCGTCCTGGGAGACAAAACAGAAGGTGGGTTCGTCCTGGGAGACAAAACATAAGGCGGTGTTCGTCCCAAGATAAACAACATAATAGTAGAGTTGAGTAAGGTCATCTACCGGTAGATCGGGGGGACTTAATCTACTTATTGATTTGGCATTAAGGTTAATTTCATGCTTGGCCATAGTACTAGTTAGGGGTAGGCTCCGTGAGTGGGGGGAGGGGGGTAGTAGGCTCATTGGAGTGGGGGGTAGTAGGCTCCGTGAGTGGGGGGTGGGGGGGTAGTAGGCTCCGTGGAGTGGTAGGGAGTAGGCTCCGTGGAGTGGGGGTGGGGGGTAGGCTCCGGAGTGGAGGTAGTAGGCTCCTGTGAGGGGGGAGGGGTAGTAGGCTCCGTGGAGTGGGGGAGGGGTAGTAGGCCCAGAGTGGGGGTAGTAGGCTCCGTGAGTGGGGGAGGGGAGTGAGGCTCTGTGAGTGGGAGGGGTAGGCTCCGTGAGTGGGGTGGGGGGGGTAGTAGGCCCTGTGAGTGGTAGGGTAGTAGGCTCCGTGAGTGGGGAGGGGGGGTAGTAGGCTCCGGAGTGGGGAGGGGGGGTAGTAGGCTCCGTGAGTGGGGGAGGTAGGCAGTCTTGAGGTAATAGGCTCCGGAGTGGGGGGGGAGGGGGTAGTAGGCTCTGTGAGGGGGGGAGGGGGGTAGTAGGCTCCGTGAGTGGGGGGAGGGGGTAGTAGGCTCCGGTGAGTTGTAGGGTAGGCTCATGAGTGGGTTCCTGGAGTGGGGGAGGGGGTAGGCTCCGTGAGGGGGAGGGGTAGTAGGCTCCGTGAGGGGGGTAGGCTCTCCCGGGCGCCAATTAACCTTGAGCTAAGACTGTTGGAGGTTCGATCCCGCTAACGATATCGGAAGTTGATGTTGTATCTCCACCTGTGTCGATAATGATCTCCCCTCACCTTGCCGGGCCTCTCCCCTCACTTTACCGGGCCTCCCTCTCCCCTCACTTGCCAAGCCTCACCTCACCGGAACCTCTCCCCTCACCTGCTCTCGTCGTCTGTTCCCCTCTTCTTCCTGTTACTTGTCATCTACTGTTCTTTATTCCCCTCACTCGCCGCCTTCCCTCATTCTTCTCTCATATCCTGTTTCCCCTCACTCCCTTGTCCTCCTGTTCCCCTCTTCTTCTTCTCCCCTCACTCGTGACGTAACATTGTGAACCTGTACATGATTAGAGATGTGTCGGGGGGAACTAACACACACACACACACACACACACACTCTCTCTCTCTCTCTCTCTCTCTCTCTCTCTCTCTCTCAGTAGGGTGTAAGCTTCTGGTCTTTGAGAGAGGTTTATGCATGCCATCTAGAGAGAGAGAGAGAGAGATAGATTTACCTACGTCTAGTTACGGTCGAGTCTCTGGTGTACTTTCGACGCCATGTTGACCTCCCGTCCTCGTAGCGTAAGGTGTGTGTGTGTGTGTGTGTGTGTGTGTGTGTGAAAGAACGACAAAAACATTTAACTCACTAAAAAAAATTTTTGAGAGATTCTTGTCTTGAATTGTACTCTGTGCACCTCCCATCCCATCCCTCCCCACACTCATCTCCCCTCTCCTCTCCCCACCCCCATCTGTTGCTCACCCCTCATCTCCTCTCCTTCCTCCCATCTGTTGATTTACTCTCTTGCTGCTTCCCTCCCCCCCTCTACCTCTCCCCGCTTGTCGTCACACTGTCAACACATCAGCATCATGTACACGTATTCTCTCTCTCTCTCTCTACTCTCTCTCTCTCTCTCTCTCTCTCTCTCTCTCTCTCGTGTTGTGTGGTGCTGGTAGAGGAAGGACCTCAGGCCACGGACACGGCCGTGTACGTGCTCAAGTACTCCCCTCTCTACCTTCCTCCTGAGTGCTGGGGGGCGGCCGTGAGGGGAGAGGGGTCGGGAGGGGTGGGAATCTTGAAGGAAGACCGGGGAGGGAGGGGAGGAGTCGTGAGGAAAAGCTGTGATGGAGGAGGGATATGAGGGAGGTTGTGTTCCGTGAGGGGGGCGAGGGGAGGGGAGGGGAGGCTGATAAATAGTTAAGGGGGTTCCTCTCTCTCTCTCTACTAGCATAATTAGGTGATCACTCTACGGCAACACTATTCAAAATTCGCCAATCTGACTTGATTAGGGGCGGGGGGAACTTAGGGGGTGATGGTGTGGACGTAAGGGGTGATTCGGGGGACGTAAGGGGTGATGGTGGTGATTGGTGGAGAGGATTGGTGGTGATTGTAGTGATGTTGGAGCATTGAAAAAAAAAGGTTGGAGATTGGTGCCCCTCCCTCTTTGTCTCTCCCCTCTCCACCACACACCACACACCTTAGTAATCTCCCTCTCCACCCCTTACACCCCCCACACACATAGTCATCTCCTTCCACTCCTCACCTCTCTACTCCCCTACACACAGTAATCTCCCTCTCCCCCTTCCCCCCCTCCTCTCTACTCCCCCACACACCTTAGTCATCTCCCCGCCCTCCTCACACGCCTCTACTCCCCTACACACATAGTCATCTCCCTCTCCCCTTCCCTCCCTCCCTCTCTACACCCCCCACACACCTTAGTCATCTCCCCCTTCCCTCCCTCACCCTTCTACTCCCCCTACACACCTTAGTCATCTCCCCTCTCCCCTTCCCTCCCTCCCAAAGGTGTTATTATTCTCTCACCTAATTAAGCCAGCAGCCATACTGGGTTACACCTGTCCGCTGGGTTTCAGGGGCGTCTCCACTATGTCTCGTCACCTTACCTGTTAGTTTATCCTCACAGGTCATGGTCAGGTCACAGGTCGTGTCAGGTCACAGGAATGAGAGGGAGGGAGGGAAAGAAGAGAGAGAGAGAGGGATGGAAGAGGGTGTGGGGTAGGTGGAGGGGAGTGAGAGGGGATGGAGGAGGATGTGGTAATGAGAGGAGAAGGAGGAGGAAGGGAATGAGATGAAGGGAGGGAGTGAGAGAGGGAAGGAGAGGAGAGGATGAAGATAGATAAGTACACAGGATCTGAAGAACACTTTGTCCACTTACTCTTGTCTTGGCCGGCACCTGAGACTCACCCTTCAAGGTCATGCTCCAGGGCCATGCTCCAAGGTCATGCTCCACTGTCATGGGTCTACAGTTTCGACAGATAATTATTAATATAAACAGGTGGGTGCAGTGGTGAATTCCATACAGGTATTTTATTTATTTCATTAATGTTACGTGGGCCCCAGTTCTCATAGGCCCCTCAACCCACCATTCAGTCCTAATGGGCCCCCAACACTAGGGTATAGGTTTGGGGCCCTTATTATACCTGAATGGAACACAGATCTCATCTAACCTACCCTACCCTACCCTACCCTACCCTAACCTACCCTACCCAACCTAACCTAACCTAACCTACCCTACCCTACCCTACCCTAACCTACCCTAACCTAACCTAACCTAACCTACCCTAACCTAACCTAACCTAACCTAACCTACCCTACCCTAACCTACCCTAACCTACCCTACCCTACCCT